CCCTTAAAATTAAAAAATAAATAAAAATCAGATATATTTTTAAATTAATTTATTAAATTAAATAGATACAGTGATATATACTTAATAATAAAAAATTTAATATATAATACATTAATAAATATTTAATAATAGTGTTTTTTTTTTACATTATCAAGATAACAAAAAAATTAAACAATGCTATTTTTATCAATCCAGCTGTTGTGAGTGCTATCAAATCCTAGCCATTTCACCAGAACTCGATCACCCTTCTTCCTCACTATCCTCTCCATAAGGTAGACATCAGGATGCTTGACCTTCTGCAGCTCTTCCGTATAGAAACATCCCTTTATTGGCTGACTTTGAGCATCAGACAGTAAGTATGTAACAGGATCAGTCCTCTTAATACTGGATACAGTGAAAATTTCATTGGACCAGTTAGGGGTGTAACCCTTATCGAACACCCCTCTGTATTTGCTTATTCTCACCCGGTCTCCTACTTTGAACTTTGACAGACGTGAATATGTAACCGTTGGATAATTATAAACCGAACTCTGAAGTATCTTTTCATTGCTCTTGTTCACGGACGCGGGCTTCATTCCAATGGTCCTATGCTTGGTATTGTTATATTTTTTCACAATTTTATCTAACACATCGTACCAGCGAAAGGTACCGTTAAAGCTGAATTCTTTATACATTATGGATTTTAGTGTCCGATTAACACGTTCCACAATCGAACTTTTCTTGCTACTATACGAGGAGTAATGATTAATATTAAATTTCCTCATTAATGCTTGAAAGTGTTTATTATAAAATTCCTTGCCCAAATCCGTCTGTAAATTACGAGGTATTCGACTATCAGTACCGAGAATCTTTTTCATAGCACTAGCAACTTCTTCGCCGGATTTTGTTTTAAGTGGAGCCGTCCACACGTACTTTGAGAAGGCATCTATTACAACCAGTATATAACGATAATTTTTATTGAATTTAGCATATGGTATCATCTCCACGAGATCGGCTTGAAAGAGATCATCTAGCCCGTGAATTACTACCTTTCGCCTATTAAAATTAACTCTTGCAGGCTTATGTAATTCGTTAACAATATCCCTCTTTACAGCTGACATGTTTACTGAACGGCCACCCCACACAAACTAATCAATAATTAATCACGTGGTGCAATTAATTTGGCTTCCAGAAGCTCCTCGATGATGCTGTTCATTTCATTTACGTGATTGGAATTTCCCGCTTCTTGGGAGGCCATTAAAAGCCTAAGTCGATCCACAAGTTCGTTGGGATCGTTCCAGTACACGTAGTCGATAGCGTTATCTGTGACATTCATCATTAGCTTACTGCCGCCGCCACCACGATGTCGGTGCCTTTGAAGAATCGGCTTTATGACATATTTATATTTCCAGCTATTTCCGCCCGATATCGGCTTCGATGAGTCATAAGACAGTCTGTTGGCACTGGTATTTCTAATGATGTCAGCATATTTCTTTTCATCGTCGCTCGTGTAAATTTTAAGTGGACGCTTCTTAAACAACAATTCAAAGAGGCCCCTCGTTCCCTCATATTCGCTGTCCTTTATTAGCACATTATCGTCAACGAATTGGACTTTAGAATCTCCGATATAGAAGTCATCTTCGTCGAGATTGTATCTGATGCCATACTTTACGTCAAAGCTATCTTTAGTATCATGCACCAGTCCGGATATGTAGAATTTAGGCAGATCGTGGAATTTCTCAAGATATTCCTCGTCAAAATTGGATTCTTCGATGCCGCCGTCCCTCTCGGTGGGGTCGGGATCCATATAGTTATCGCTATCGGCATTACTCGTTGTTTCTTCTATCTCACTCTTTGGTTCGGACTTCTTTATCTCCTGTTTTACGACGGGCAAGGTCGACAGCTGCGACTGAGGTGTTGATACTTGTTTGATATTCGTAGCAATCGTTCGAAGTGGGGCCGTGATGGGTGCAAAAGATTTTTCAACCAGCTGATCATGACGCTTGAGAGCCTCCAATTTTCGTTTGATGGACTTTCGGGCCTTGATAATGTTATTAGTGGTAGCGGTCGCGTCCATAATGATACACGGCTAACGAATGACTAATGATAATGCACACCTTTACATGTATCAAAGCCTTTACGGTAACGCCGACCGCTGACAATGTCGCTATCCTTGTCTATCACTAAGAACCCATATCTATCTGTCCAGCATAAGGAACACATGTGTTTGAAATCCTCGAATTTCATATCTGTATTCACATGATCGTTATAAACATGTCGGAGATTGAGGTCATCCTGCTTGAATAGCACCATAAAGTTGGCATTGTCTCTCACCAAATGCTTCGGTATACGCGTATAAGTCTGACAGAGATAGAAACAATCCACCCGCTTATGTCGACCCATGCTGAAATAGTCACGTATCGGGCTCTGGTTATCGCATGCTACGTCATCGAAGATAAACACCGAGTCAAATTTAGCTTGGGCTGGTGGTATTATGTCATCACTGTCCTTGAACTGATTGTTTTCAACAAGTGAATGGAGCACCTTCTCCAGATACTTGTATTTAGGCTGATATAACGATTTCGAATAGACGTAAACATTTTTAAAGTACAATCCATCCGGATGAGTCAGCAGACCGATCATCACGTTCGTTTTACCACAGTTCGAAGATCCACATATAATACATGTAAGACTATGTGGTAGCAGGGGCCCATGTTTTTTGAATTGCTTATCGCCGTTGTCCACGAAATCGATGTTTTCGATTTCGAGACTGCCACCTGCCGCAACTTCTTTCTTGAAGCGCATGGTCAATACTGACAGAAAGACAGGTGTGCATCGACTATAAATAGGTAGCTCTCACCTGGCGCACCTTAGTTTGTTCACGTGCGTGGTACAGGTAACATGGCACTTTTCAATTCTTTGATCAACAAGTTACCTTTCGAAGCACATATTCCCGGGTATCGTTTCTGTGGCCCCGGCACCAAGTTGGCCAAGAGGCTTGCTCGCGGTGACGAAGGCATAAACGGCCTTGATAACGCATGCAAGGACCACGACATCGAGTACACTAAAGTGTCTGACGTGGCGGGCAGAAACGTAGCAGACAGAAAATTAGCCCATCAAGCTCTGAAGAGGGTGTTCGCGAAAGATTCCTCACTGGCTGAGAGGGCAGCCGCTGCGGGAGTAGCCGGAGCCATGGCTGCTAAAGTTAAATTGGGCTGGGGGATCGCGAAGCCCAAGAGGAAGAAGCCTGTGAAAAAATCCGGCGGGGCTCTAACATTCCGCAAAGTTTCTGATAAAATTCGCAAAGCTGTACGTCGGGCCAGCACCGTTGAGGATGCCGTGAAGAAGGCTGTTCGAGTAGCCGAACGCATGAAGAAGGCCTCCACCGGAGGCATATCACATCCAAAGGCCCGCGTAATTCCAATTCCAAAGACTGGCGGTCTCCTGCCTCTGATTCCCATTTTTGCGGGACTTAGCGCTCTCGGTGCTCTGTCTGGTGGAGCTGCGGGCATCGCCAAGGCTGTAAACGATGCTCGGAATGCAGCCACCCAGCTTAAGGAATCTCAACGTCACAACGAAAAAATGGAGGCAATAGCTCTCGGCAAAGGGCTCTACCTACGCCCCTATCGACAAGGACTTGGACTGTATATGAATAAGACGAAGAAGAAGAAGTGTTGTAACAAGACCAAGAAAGCCAGCAAATGACTAGAAAAACTACCGAATCGCGCTCTCACCGATCAAGATTTACTTAAATACGTAAAATTATTGGAAATTCCACACTTCAGAGGCGTCTATATGAGGGATCGATTACCTAAAAATGTACACAAAAACGAGTGCGGGATCCTGAATTTGGACAGTGACAGCGGTGCAGGTACTCATTGGACGGCATATTACAAGAGAGGACCTGAAGCCGTATATTTCGATAGTTTCGGTAATTTGAGACCGCCTGTGGAATTATTAAAATATCTAAAGTCATGTCGCGTCAAATATAATCATAAACAATACCAGACGTATGATACGGTGAATTGTGGACATCTGTGTCTGAAATTCCTATATAATGAGTCACGCTGATAAAGTCACGGTCAGTCGGCGTGAGTCATCCAAGCAGAACAGTGCACGTGTGTGTTGATATGTCATATACGCTTACGTTATCGGGTGATTCATCGATTCTGAGTTCGCAGTTTTACCCGCCTATTGAGCTCGAGGACGATGCTGAATATGTAATCGGGCTTACGGACTTTCTAGCCTACCACTCCATACCGAATGTTGATTCTACGAATAATCGTTTCTATTACGGTGATGCTGATAAAGTTATAAAAATACCGGAGGGATCCTACGAGATAGAAGATATAAATACATACATAAATAGTAATTTAGCCGAGCTCACCGCTACCGATACTAATCTCCCCGATAATTTAGTGTTTGTTTCCATAAAATCCAATAAAAATACGTTAAAGTGTGAAATTAAAGCAAACACGACAATTAATTTCAACAAACCCAACAGTATAGGTAGATTATTGGGATATAAAAACCGTAAATTAAAGGCGAACAAGTTTCACGAATCCAATAATCCTATTAAAATTCAAAAAGTCAACGCCATTTGTGTGGAGTGCAATCTCGTTTCGAACAGTTTCATTAACGGTCAACCGGGTCACATCTTACACGAATTTTTCCCGAGAGTCGGTCCTGGCTATAAAATAATAGATTCTCCGGCCAACGTAATCTACCTGCCGGTCAACAAGCGTCGCATCGAGGGTGTAACCATTAAAATAGTGGATCAAGACGGGGATTTGATCAATTTCCGTGGAGAAGTCATCACGTTAAGACTGCACCTGAAGAGGAATGGGGCTTAGAATCCGGAGTGGCTTTGGGCTCGCTGTCGTCGGTCACAGCCGAAAACCTTTAAAAGCCTCACCTGGAGCGAAATCAATTAGTCTACCTGTGACGTTTAAAGGGTTCACATCGCAAAACAAGAAGATTTTGTACTCTCTGGGCTACAAAGTGCTACTGCCCACCTCACAATGAATTCTAATATTCTAAACGTGTTGGAGAAGCCGCTCTTCGATAACGCCATAGTAAATTTCGAGAAGCGTTCCCACGGTCCGTATTCGGCGACGAACTTGAACAACAACGATGAAATCCGCATCCCGATTCAGCAGCAGGATACGTATACGGCTCCATATTATAGTCTCCTGTATATCAGAGGTAGACTGTGCAAAGCTGATGGCACGGTTTCGGCGACGGCAAAGTTCGACAGGATGGGCATTTTGCTGCTGTTCGACGAAATCCGATACGAGTTGAATGGTATACCTGTGGATAGATCGCGAAACCCCGGCCTCACGACCATCATGAAGAACTACGTGTCAATCAGTCAAAATGAAAGCCTAAAGTTGGAAAATGCCGGCTGGATTATCAGCGACCATTTCACCGATGCCGAGGGCAATTTCGACGTATGCATCCCTCTGAGGATATGCATGGGATTCGGGGAAGATTTCCAGAAAATTATCGTCAATTTGAGACAGGAGCTGGTACTTATTCGCGGCTCCACTGATACGAACGCCATCGTGGGCGTTGCTGGCGACGATGAGGGTCTCCGTGTACAACTACAGAGTGTTTCATGGAAGGTGCCACACGTATCGGTGGCTGATGCGGAACGTTTGAAATTGTTGAAATATATCGACAGAAACGTAGAATTGGCTGTGCCTTTCCGTAGCTGGGAACTGCACGAGTACCCCTTGCTTACCGAGACCCGGACACATACTTGGAGCATAAAAACTTCTTCACAGCTGGAGAAGCCTCGATTCATAATTTTCGGCTTCCAAGTGGCCCGTAAGAATAAGATTGATAAGGCCATGAGCCAGTTTGATCATTGCAATTTGACCAATTTCAAGGTTTTTCTAAATTCCGATTCGTACCCGTACGATAACTTGAATGTGGATTTTTCAAAGAATTGTTATGCCATCCTGTATGACATGTATGCTCAATTTCAACAATCATACTATCAGAAGGATAGCGAGCCTTTTCTAACTACATATACGTACAAGCATATGGCTCCTCTGGTAGTCGTCGATTGTTCCTGTCAGAATGAGGTTCTAAAGTCGGGAACTGTTGACATTAGGCTGGAATTCGGTACTAATGACAATATCCCGAAGGAGACCGCAGCCTATTGTCTTATAATTCACGATAGGATCGTGTACTATAACCCTCTGACGAGCATAGTTCGCACTTATTAGTAGCAGCATCAGCAGCTATGTACATAACGACTTGCAGGGATTTCAATACAAAAAATTGGATTTCAGGTGCAAGGAAATTTCCATTTTTAACATTAACGACAGATCCTGTGTGAATAGAATAGTCGAGCCCAAAATTCCCTATAAACATCTCAGGAAGAGTGTAAAAATCCAAATCGACTGGACTGTGAATCATGTACACGGTCTTAGATGGTCGTCATCGTGGGATAATTTACCGTACAGTGGACTCGGATATTTCATATCCGATAGTGTGTTACACGAGGAGCAGCCTGTCCTCGTGAGAAGGATTGGAGAAAAAGAGATGGCTGGAGCCTCATTTACCTAATAATATTATTATTGACTTGGAGCCGTATGGCTGTAGTAGAATAAAAGATTTAATGTTATCCAGCTTAAAATTTCATTGTAATAGACATAAAATTAATAATTTACACTGCACTAGGCAGAATGTATATGCTATATATAAATGGTATATTGTTAATAGAGATAAGCTTGATTATTGTATTTATTTATTTTAAATAGTGGAAAAATATTGCTGAACTCTGTGTTTCATTTCTCGAATAGTGAGTGGGGTGGGGTGGGGAGAGAGTAGTGAAGGAGAGAGGGGAGTGAGACGCTAAACGCGCGTCTGATAGCATAAATCCAATTCAGTGTATTAGTAGTAGCAGTAGCAGCAATGAGTGAGCACAGAGTTATTACTATGAGCGAATTGTTAAATGGAGAACTATGCACATGCAAATTGTGCACCGTCCCACCATATGTATGGGATATACTAAATATTAAAACGAATAAAGAGGAGGAGAAGGAGGAGAAAGATGGACCTCCAAAACTAATCCCATTTCGAGAAATATTAAAACGTATGCTAACGTTTGTTCAATATTTAAAAAATTATATCTAAAAATTGCTCTCTCATTGTTACAGACAAGGAGCTGTACCGTAGGCTCTTAGAAGCCCACGGATGTCTAGAGACCAGCACCACAGCGGGGCAAAAATATTTTGTTATATATTTTTGAAATTAATTATTTATTATTATATTATTATTAT